GATGCGATTCATAATTACAGTGGAACAAGAAGCCTAAACCAGGACTATCTTGGGCAAACCAGGTTTTACAGTTACACTAATTTTAACTCATTCCTGAGTGCCCCGTCCACTCTGACTCCTAACCAAAAATATCATTATAGTGGCTTACAGAATTCTAATAATTAGGTTAGAAAACATCGAAATACCTTAACTAGGCAATAATAATAACATAGTACCACAAGAATAAGATATTCCTGGATAATGAGTAATATAGAGATCATAGAATATAGTTACAAGAATGATTTTGTAAGATGATAAATCCATTTTAAAAAGAACATACTTTGATTATTTAGCCAAAAGTATCTGAGCAGTCCTTCCAGACCTCTAAAGACTGAGGACCCCACCTTTGGAAAGTTAAAAAAAGCAAAAAAGAAAGGTTTATCTTGTTTCAAACTCTGCATATTAAGGCTCTACTAATGCTAGTAGAATTAATAATCTAATACTGTGGAGCATATCGAGCATTCATTTTTACAAAAAACAAAATTACTCCTCTTCTAGACTCCTTTCCAAAGCTGAGGAAAAAGTAACTTCCCTGGGGATGTGGGTTGAAAATTGTTGTCTTTAGTCTCATCCAAACTTGAACCTTAATGTCAGAAAGAAGTCAGGTTAGCTATCAGGGAGAGCTTTGTAAATTCACACTTCTGCCAAGATACAGCCTTCCCTGATTATTTCTAAGACAGCCAGGTGCTCTTAGAGGTCGCCTAGTCTGGACTGTAATCAAATAATGAAGAAAAGTAATAATTCTACCTAAGCATAGTATACTACTTACATAATTATACAATCTGATAAAAAGCTCAAATTTAGGCTCTCTAACATTCCTGAAAGTCTGGCTTCCATGGCCTTTATCTGGGGCTAAGACAGGCTCAAAAACTGTTTACCTGCATGTGAACATTCACTTATCCTCTACTTCAAACACTGTATAATCTGAGTAAAATGCAAGGCTCTAAATGCTCACTGTGTTTACCTCTGCATGGAAGGATTTCCAGTGACTATGTGTTCTATTCTTTCTTCCTCATGTTTTTTCATTGAGAATAGAGTACTTTTGAAATTAAACAAATAATACTTTTCAAGCTAGAAAAAAAAGATCTCTAAGAAAGATCATTAAAATAAGTATAAAGAAATTTTGGTTTCTGATCCAGCATATGAGAAGCTAGAATATGTCACTCTGTCTTAAAAAAACAAGTAAAAATCTAACCAAACTGAAAAATCAACAACTTTTCTGAGACCCTTCAGAGAAGTAAGGCCACAGGGCAAACCACTGCCCCCAAAATTAGACAGACCAACAGACAAATACAAGGAATCACAAACCTCCAGGGGAACCAGCACCAGATAGGGAAACCTGAGCTGTACTGATGAATTTCTGGAGGCTTAACATTACAAGTCTGAGAGATAAAAAGTCCAGGGGTACCTAGTCATAAGGGGCCCCCACACTTTTGTGAATTTTACTTCCAGGAGCTCAACCAAGTTCTCACAGTAAATACTGGAGAAAAATCTCCTCTTGCTTCCTGCAGGAGAAGGGGAAAGGAGCCATTTTTAAACACTCCAGAGCATTCTGTACTTCTTAACAAAGTCTGCCCTCAGGATAAACTATTTAACTAGAGCCTAACCTGCTGGGGTTTTATCAGAGTTTAACTGACCTGGGGGAAGAAAATACACATCTCCAGCCTACTATAATCATCCTGTTCCAACTACGGGGGAGGAGAGTATTGAGAAGCATGAGTGGAATTCACAGTCCAGAGGTACAGGCTTACTAAAAGACTGAGACCTACTCATAGGACCATAGAGTGCTTCCCCTCCCTCATCTTCACCATCATGTTACTAAAGGTCTATTTACAGCAGTTCCTTTTACCCAGTACATCATGTCCGGCTATCAAAAAAAAAATTATGACATACTAAAAGCTAAAAAAACAGTCTGAAGAGACAGAGCAAGCATTAGAACCAGACTCTGATTTGGGAGGGATGCTGGAATTATCAGACTGGGAATTTTTAAACTACGATTAAGATGCTAATTATTCTAATAGATAAAGTAGACAGCATGCAAGAACAGATGGGCAGTGTAAGCAGACAGATGGAAATCTTAAGAAAGAACCAAAATAAAATAATACAAGTAAAAAAACACTGTAACAGAAATGAAGACTGCCTTGATGGGCTTATTTGTAGACCAGATGTGGCTGAAGAAAGAATCACTGAGCTTGAGGATATCTAAACAGAAACCTCTAAAAATGAAAAGAAAAAAAAAAAGACTGAAACAAAAAATACCATCCCAGAAAAGAATATCCAAAAACTGTGGGACAACTACAAAAGGTGTAACAGGGCTTCCCTGGTGGCGCAGTGGTTGAGAGTCCGCCTGCCAATGCAGGGGACACGGGTTCGTGTCCCGGTCCGGGAAGATCCCACATGCCACGGAGCAGCTGGGCCCGTGAGCCATGGCCGCTGAGCCTGCGCGTCCAGAGCCTGTGCTCTGCAACGGGAGAGACCACAACAGTGAGAGGCCCGCGTACCACAAAAAAAAAAGGTGTAACAGTTGGACAATAGAACTACCAGAAGAAGAAGACAGAGGAACAGAAGAAATATTTGAGAAAACAATGACTGAAAATTTCCCAAATTAATATCAGACACCAAACCACAGATCCTGGAAGTTCAGAAAACACCAAAGAGGATAAATACAAAAAAATACTACACTTAAATATCATTTTCAAACTACAGAAAACCAAAGATAAAGAAAAAATTCTGAAAAAAAACAGGGGAAAAAACAACCACCTGACTTATAGAGGAACAAAGGTAAGAATTATATCCAACTTCTCCTCAGAGACAACATAGTCAAGACGAAAGTGAAGTGAAATCTTTAACGTGCTGAGAGAAAAAAACCTATCAACCTAGAATTCTGTACCCTGCAAAAGTATCCTTCACAAGTGAAGGAGAAATAAAGACGTTCTCAGACAAACAAAAGCTGACAGAATTTGTTACCAGTAAACCTGCCTTGCAAAATTTTAAAATAAGTTATTTAGAGAGAAGGAAAATGATATGTCAGAAACTTGGATCTACATAAACAAGAGAGGAGCATTGCAGGAGTGAGTGAAGGTAAAATAAAAACTTTTATTCTTTTCTTTTTTAATTTTAATTTTCTTTTTATTATTTATTTTTGGCTGCACTGGGTCTTCGTTGCTGTGCGCAGGCTTTCTCTAGTTGCTGTGAGCAGGGGCTACTCCTTGTTGCAGTGTGCAGGCTTCTCATTGCAGTGGCTTCTCTTGTTGTGGAGCACAGGCCCTAGAGCATGCAGGCTTCAGTAGTTGTGGTGGGCTTAGTTGCTCCGCAGCATGTGGGATCTTCCTGGACCAGGGATTGAACCCATGTCCCCTGCATTGGCAGGCAGATTCTTAACCACTGCACCACCAGGGAAGTCCCTTTCTTTTATTCTTAATTGATCTAACAGATAACAGTTTGTTCAAAATAATAATAGCAACGATGTATTCAATCATATGTGCTTATGTGTGTACTATTAGAATGGTGAAAATGTAGAACACTGACAACACCAAATGCTGGCAGGAACTCTCATTCATTCATTGTACCATTCAATATAAAAGCCACTTTGAAAGACAGTTTGGTGGTTTCTTACAAAGGTAAACATAAGCTTACCATAGGATCCAGCAACTGTACTCCTTGGTATTTACCCAAAGGAGATGAAAACCTATGTCTACACAAAAACCCACACACCGATGTTTATAGCATCAATATTCAAAATTGCCAAAACTTGGAAGGAACCAAGATGTCCTTCAGTGGGTGAGCGGATAAATAAACCGTGGTACATAGACAATGGAACATTATTTAGTGCTAAAAAGAAATGAGAGGGGCTTCCCTGGTGACGCAGTGGTTAAGAATCCACCTGCCAATGCAGTGGACACGGGTTCAAGCCCTGGTCCAGGAAGATCTCACATGCCGTGAAGCAACTAAGCCTGCGCACCACAACTACTGAGCCTGTGCTCTAGAGCCCGTGAGCCACAACTACTGAAGCCCAGGAACCTAGAGCCTGTGCTTTGCAACAAGAGAAGCCACCGCAATGAGAAGCCCGCACATCACTACAAAGAGCAGCCCCCGCTTGCTGCATCTAGAGAAAGCCCGTGTGCAGCAAAAAAGACCCAATGCAGCCAAAAATAAATAAAATAAAATAAATAAATTTATTTTAAAAAAAAGAAATGAGTTACCAAGCCATGAAAAAAAAAGGGAGGAAATTTACATGCATATTACTAAGTGAAATAAGCCAATCTGAAAAGGCTACATGTTGTATGATCTCAACTATACGACATTCTAGAAAAGGGTAAACTCTGGAGATAGTAAAAATATTAGTGGTTGCCAGGGATTTAGGGGAAGGAGGACAGGGATAAATCAGCTGAGCACAGAGGATTTTTAAGGCAGTGAAACTATTCTGTATGATACTATAATGGTGGATACATATCATTATACATTTATCCAAACCCATAGAATGTACAACACCAAGAGTAAACTTTAATGTAAACTACGAACTGTGGGTGATGATATGTCAATGTAGGTTCATCAGTTGTAACAAATATACAACTCTGGTGGGGAATGTTCTTCATAGGGGAGGCTATGGATGTTTGGAGACAAAGCATATATGGTAAATCTCTGTACCTTCTGCTCAGTGTTGCAGTGAACCTAAAACTGTTCAAAATAAAATAAATTCAAAAATGCAAATTAATTAATAAAAACTAACCACCAAAAAAAAAATAGTATAGAAATCCTATCTTAGTTTTCTATCATCATGCAACAAATAGACCCCAACTGGTGGTCTAAAACAACAGTAAACATTTTTGTGGATGAGGAAGGAGCAAGCAGGTTGGTTGAGTGGCCCTGGCTCAGGTTGCATCTGGGATGTTGGCTGGGGCTGCAGTCATCTGAAGGGTTGAGTAGGGCTAAGGGATCATTTTTCAACATGACTTACTCACATGGCATTGGCAGAGGGTTCAGTTTCTTCTATGAGACCCTTGAATGTCCTCATGACATTGCAGCTGGCTTTTCCCAGAGGGAGTGATCTGAAAGAGAACAAAGCAGAAACCACAATGACTTTTATGACTTAGTATCAGAGATGACACATGTCACCTCCATCATATGCAGTTTATTAGAAACAAGTCACTGAGTCCAGCCCACACCCAGGGAAGGGAAATGAAACTCCATTTCTTGATGGGAGGAGTATCAAGAATGTGTAAACATGTTTTAAACCACCCAGAGAGCCCTATTCACAAAAAGGAAGTCACCACTGTCACATACACAGACAAATATTTAATATATTGAAAAAATTTATAAAGTTATCACTGAAAGTAGAAATACAAAATTTATTAAAAATTCTCCGTTTTACTTTACTTTCTACTTTTAAAAATCAAATATAGTTCTTTGGTAGATTAAAAAAAGGAAACTTTTACAAGCTCTATAAATTTACACCGTAGGTGTTTGTGGTCAATATGGTGAAACTAATAGTTTTTAATCAATAAATCAACTTGGACAGAATTGGTATCTTTGGAATATTTAGTCTACTTATCCATGAATTTGGTATTTCTCTCCATTTATTCAAGCCTTATTTAATGTCTTTTGATTGTTACAGTTTTCTCTGAAGAGTTTGCGTGTGTCTTTAGTTGAATTTATTCCTAATTATTTGGTATTCTTTGACACTATTATAAATTAGCTTCTTTTTTCATTATTATATCTAGTTGTTTGTTGCTGCTGTAAAAATTAATATATTTTCAGGCAAATCTTATATCTATTAAGCTCCCTAAATTCTCTTATTGCTTCTAATATTTTCCTTTAAAGTCTGTTGAATTTTTCTTTTTAAACAATTTCATCATCCCAAAATGACAGCTTTATTTCTACGTTTCCAATCCTCATACCTATAAATTCTTTTCCTCTTCTTATTGCTTTAGGCTACGGACTCCAACATCATGTAAAATAAGGGTCATTATCATGTGCATTTTTGTTTCATTTCTCAGTTAAATGGAAATGCTTCCAAAATTTCCCCATTAATGAAGATATCTGCTATAGTTTATCAGTTTAAGGAAGTTGTCTTCTGTTTCTAATTTACAAAGAGGTTTTCTCCAATCATGAATTCAACATTATCAAATGTTTTATTCTATATCTAGTAAAACAATTACATAGTTTTCTCTTGTAATCTGTTAATGTGGGAAATTATAGTTTTTGGGGGGTTAACCCATCCTTTCATACTTGGGGTATACTCAACTTGGTCATGATATTGTTAGCTTTTTCATACACTGTTAGCTTCAATCTACTAACATTTTATTCAGGGTTTTGAATCTATATTTTTTAGTGAAAGGGCTATAATTTTCTTTCTTTTAATGTACTTGTATCAGGATTAAGATTACTAATTTTAAATATTTCAAAACTGTAAACTTTGCATGAAAAAAATAGCACAATTTTAGAAGAAAGAAGCTGGAAGAAGATATGTACAAAATATGTAACTGACATACAGTTGGCCCCCCACATATATAAATAACTCTTACAAATCAATAAGAAAAAGACTAACAATCAAATCAAATGGGCAAAGGATAAAAAAAAATGAAATTAACAAAGAGGATAACCAAAATATTTAATTATATTCATTAAACATTATAAAAAGATCCTAAACATCACTATAGATTAAGAAAATACAAATCTATACAATATTTATATACCATTTTAAAGCTCATCACAACGTCAAAACTTAAAAAGAAACTAAGTCCTGATGTTAACAGTGCAGAGCAGGAATTCCATCCCTGCTGGTGGAAAAATAATTGGGGCTATCAATTTGTAGACCAGTTTGGAAATATTTAGTGAAGTTGAAAATATGCATGAACTACTTCCTCATAATTCTACTTCTAGAGAAACTGTCATTTAATATGCTCCAGAAGAGTACAAAATTAGAAAAAATCTTAATGTCTTTCTGTAGGAGGATGGCTAACTGAACAGTGACACAGATAAAATGAATATACTGTGTATCTGCATGAATCTATATAATACATCTTGAAAACAGTACACTGGGTAAACAATAATGCTAGGAGGAAAATAGTGCAGTATGGGATCATCTTTGTAAATCTTGAAAATACTCAAATCATTGTTATATATCATTTATGGCTACAAATGAATGAATTAAAATATAAAGCATGAATACAAAAGATATACACAAACTTCATGAATTCGATGAGTCTAACAACGTAGGGAAAGGAATTCGGAAGGGTAAAGGGGTTTCTGTTGTGACATTAAATGTTTATTTTCGCAATTTGAAGAAAATATGACAAAATATTAGCACTTGTTACTTTGATAGTGGAGAGTATATGAAGTTTATAGTTCTCTTTAGGTTTTTCTATGTTTTTTAAATGCTTCATAATTTTAAATAAATGTTTATGAAAAAAGAACCACTTGAATTATTTGAGAAGTAGATGTTGCATTATATTACCGCTCTAAGTATCCTTGAAATTGTTCTCTACGTATTCTGTCTCTTTGTGATTGAATATTCTCTGGGCCTGCTTCCTCACCTGTAATGTAAGAGGGGTGAACAGATGGTCATTTCAGATTCTTTGTAGCTCAGATACTCTAAGTGCCTTTCCTTCCCCATCCGCTGACACCCCGTCCCGCCACCATTTTTTTTTTTTTTTTTTGCGGTACGCGGGCCTTTCACTGTTGTGGCCCCTCCCGCCGCGGAGCACAGGCTCCGGAAGCGCAGGCCCAGCAGCCATGGCTCACGGGCCCGGCCGCTCCGCGGCATGTGGGTCCTCCCGGACCGGGTCACGAACCCGTGTCCCCTGCATCGGCAGGCGGACTCTCAACCACTGAGCCACTAGGGAAGCCCCCGCCACCTTTTTAAGGTTCGTTACCTGACTCCATCTTTCTTTCCATTCTCCAAGTCTCCTTTTCTGAAAGGTCACCCGGAAACACTTGACCAAAGCATGCTCAGTAATCAAATTTGCTAAAACTCGAGAAAAGCTTTTTAACAGTTCCACATTTTCATCTGTCAGCTCTGACGGAAATCGGTGTAGGGAGCAGCAGGAGGAAGCAATAGAAAAGACGCTCCATGGGAACAGGTGTGCTAGTGCGTTCTTACCTGGACGTCAGACTCCAGCCAAGGCGCAGATAATTTGGGAATGGACTATAAGGCCAGCTTAACTCTGTACAATCCGAGCAAGTCAGCGTGGACGCAACATACTGTACTTTGCTGCAGTTGGTTGGGTGGGAGGCGAGGGGAGAGAGGCCGCAGCTGGAGGTTTAAAAAAAAAAAAAGGAAAAGGAAAAAAAGGCGAGGTGCTGGGAGAGAGGGCTGCCCAAATCAGAAACACCCTGGAGCGTCTCCGCCTCAGGAGGAAGGCGTATTTCGCAACCTCCGAGGGAAATCGCCTCGGCCGCAGCGTCCAAGTGAGCTGCGGCCGCAGCCCGCGCAGCCCGCGCGCAGCCCGCCCCCAACTCGCCCGCCGCGCGCTGACCCCGGGCTTGGAGGTCGCGGGGAAGGCTGTTCTGGCGAGTCGAGTACCCGCGCCCGCGAACCTTACACCTGCAGAGGACCCGGGTGCAGCCATGGGCTACCAGGGGCAGCGGCCCGTCGTCCCACCACAGGTAACGAGACTGGGGCTGGTTCTGAAGGCAGGTCATTCGTTCGTTCATCCTGCAACAGCGTTTAGCTACCTTCACCCAGCGTCTTGATGTAGCACCACAGAAGGTTCTCCAGGAGAAAAAAGAAATTTTGCCTTGATCTTTTTTTTTTTCATAGCGGGCACTTTTCAGTATAACCCCTTTAATTTCACAAAAATCACATCCTTTGCTCCCTAAGAGATCCTAAAGTACTAGGATTTCATGCAGTAGTCCACGAACTTGGTGCAGCTGTAATCAGGACATTTTAGGATGGAGTTTGTTCACAAGCTCTGTTTGAATTACTAGATATTGTTGTTACTCTATTATTATCCTCATTTGCTTATCGTTATTGGCATTACTTATTATTATTACTAATATCATGTTAGTCTCCTAAATTGCATATTTGTCTTACAGTTTTCTGAATTTTTGAGCTAGTTAAATATTTTTTTAATTGCACTTTTATATACTAAAATAGAGCCATATAGATGACAGAGAAACCCTCGTTTCTGAACATAAGGACAAAGGGAAAACTTGTCGTCAGTCTGCTGCTGTTTTTAATGTTGTCAACTCGATTATAGGATCTGGTATAATAGGTAAGTTTGTTTTTTTTTTTAAATTTTCAGTGAAAAGGCCAAATTTAAGACACTTATTATGTTGCTAGTATTCATAGGTTAATTTTAAAGGAAAAAATCTTAAATGATAAAATTGGTAATTGTTTTTTCATAAAAGCCTTCCCTTTTTTCCAATGAAACAATGTGCACACATCAGTCTCTCTTATACTAAAAATGGGGTGGTGATTCACACTCTTTCCACATTTGAGAGCATCCTCCGTGTGTGATAGATTAAGGTGGAGCTGCAGATGGGAGATTGCTGAATTTTTTTTTCATAGGCTGCATGGTCAAGTGATAATGTTACCTAATTTACTTTTTTCCCTGTTCCTGGAGTGGCCAACCATTACTTGAATCACCTTTCCATAACCTTCTAGAGGTGTAGAACCTCCAGATACTTGCAAATATTGGAGATACAAAAGTTTAATGTGAAAACATAACAATCGTGAAGAATCAAATCCACGTAATATTTCCTTACCCATTTATAGAGTATTAAATTTTAAAGTACAAACTTATTATGATATATCAATTGTAAATATAATTTAATCAATAAATAGAAATGGTTTTTTAAATGATTTTTTAAAACAAAGGAGCCAAATAATCAGAATTGAAAGAAATGAGCCTCTCATATTTTCCCAATTTGAAGCAAAGGAAAAGTTCAGAAAAAATTAAGTGCATTGCGTTATAATAATAAAGGCAGTTATCTTTTCAGTGCTTTTGTTATCTGAAACATCCAATTTAAGAAAAAGCAAGGACAAAACAAAATCCTGCAAATACTCATTGAGAATATTACTTTTTCCTGTAAAGTTATGACATTTTAGTCTCAGTCATCTGGATTGAGTTACTTTTCTTAACTTTCACAAGTTGATGTATTTCTTGATTTTACTTTCCATATACAGACAATTTTTTTTTTCAAATGGTAAATAAACTGTAGGGACCTGAGGCAAAGTAGTAGCAAGTAGGCGTAAAGACTTTTTTGAAATTCAGTCTCCATGTACCATAGAGGTGTAGGCCGAATTCCAGAGTTAATTCCTGATATGAACACTTTAAGCTGATTCATGTCAACTTAAAAAGTACTTCTTAATTAGGCTCAGCAGATTTTTGAAAGGGGAAAGTTTTCAGAGAATAAATATTCTGGGTGGAATTATTTTAAGTACATTTTATTTTAAATGTTTCATTGTCCATAATCTAAAATTGCCCATTTCCAAAAAAGATTCGTAAGAAATAACATTACATACTCCTTTCAGCTTTATAAAAAATACTTTTGCCTTCTCATTTTCCTCTCCTTTTCCTACAGAGTTGCCCATTTTGACCGCAGGGTTGGTCTTTCCTCATATCTCATAACCCTTCTATACTCTTGTTATCATCTCTGTTTTCCCAGCCAGCACATAAGGAGAGCTCTGGGTCATTACTCTCCACATATTCTAGGTCATATGTCCCCCTCACCCTGAAGGGAACATTATTTGTGTGAACTGTCATCTGTTTTTCATTTGATGCTTTCTTACTCTTCTTTTTCCACCTCATAAACTTGCTCACTTGACATGCCCTTAACTTACAACATTTTATTCTGAAATAGGTGTTAATATGCTAACATTTAATTTCAGTATTCATATACACTGTTTAAAACATGTCATATAAATATGTCAATTTACTTAGCCTATTATATACAGAAATTGGGGGAAAACTTCCGTGTTTCCATATGTTTTATTAATGTGATGGGTGGGACATTTTATGTTTTTTCCAGGATTGCCTTATTCAATGAAGCAAGCTGGCCTTCCTCTGGGAATATTGCTTTTATTCTGGGTTTCATATGTTACAGGTAAAATGCTATGTAATTGATTATTCCTGCAATTTAAATTGTGCAATGACTGTTGTACACAAACACACACACACACACGCCCTGTAGTTGAATTTCCTAATTAAAAAGTGCATCAAAGAATCCTAAAGAATTTAAACATTTGTATCTGAGGATATTTACTTTCCTTGCTAATCCTCTGAACAGATTAGAAAAGCATTATATATTACCAAGCCTAAATCCTTTTCATGTGCCTTTTCACTTTATGCCAAACGTGGCAGAGAAGTCACTTTAAAGACTGATTAAGGCCAAGACCGTACTCTGAAAATGCAGACATCAGGGTTTCCTTTCCCACAAAAACCTCGGGCAGGTGCACACAGATGAACAACCTTTTTGAGCTCTGTTTGTGCAGGTGGCACCAAGAGCCCCAGTGCTCAACCAGCAGGGATCCCCACTCCCTCCCCACCTTACCCTGCCTGCCCAGCCTCCTGCCTGCCACTGTCTTCAAGGGCAGCAATAAGGTGCTTCTGTATCGCTTCTTCTGTTCTGCTTCCCGCTTTCCGTGTAACATGTTCATTCACACCCATTCCCCCATCTAAGTGCAGGCTTTACAACTCCTAATCATCTTCTCTTCCTGTTGTTCTCACCCCTGCCCTGTCGTCCCCCCAGTTCACCTCAAGGCAAACACAAGGTCTTTCCTCTACCTTAGTATCACTGTGAAAGAGGCAGCAATCACAAACAGACACCCACTGCAGTGGTTGCTGCTAGGGGGCTGCTATGTGTGATCACCTAGATGCCCTTTACCAGGTAATACAAAACACCTCAGCTGTCCCCTGCTCCAGAGTGGCGACCTGGGCCTTAACAGTATCACCTTCCTGTGAGGTTATGAACCCCAGCCACCATTTCCCCAAAGACTGAGTAACGGAAACCCCAAAGCTGTCCTCCTTGCCTCTGGGAGGGACAAATGTGCGGGGCAGTTGGAGCTCCAGAGCGCCACCACTGCAGGGATTGGGCTGCAGCTGCTCTCCCCCGAGATTGAGTCCTGGTGAGTTGTTCCCCTGCCCTATCTTTTCACTCCCCTTCTCCTAAGAGCACTCCCTCAAATCTCTTGCCTAAGAATCTCTGTCTCAGCTCTCCTTCTAGAGACTCTGACTAAGATGCGATCCCTCATAAAATCTCAGGCTTCCAAAATCAGCCTGTAACTCAGCTGTTTTTCCTCAGGCTCAGGAAGAAAGTAAAGCATGCAGCAGGTACCAGAGTCAGAGCTGCAGAGGCCCTCAACTCCCTTCCTCCCTGCTTCTCACCACCCACCACTCCCTAAACCTAAGATGCTTTTAGCTTCTACGGCTCTTAATTTGTAGCTTAAGACCCATAATTTAGTAATGTGGAATCTGTGACTTTGTGCTTATTCAGAGTTGCTGGTGCTTAAAAAGTGTATTTTATTTATGAACACATTTATCACACTCAAAAACCCTATTCAAGGATTTACCCTTGTCGTTTTTAATTTCCTGTTTTCCAGTCAATCAGTACTGACAAATAATTAATTTCCTCCCAGGCATAATAACCATGGCTTGTTTAAGTGCATTATGAACATGTACACACATTGTAAACCAGTAGACAGAAAGCATTTAAAAATATATATCACCTAAGGATTCCATCAATAATTAAGGAGAATGAATAGTTTCTTAAAGCCAAGTCACATTATACATACATAGATCATAATGTGAATAACTCTCTCAACTGATGCTCTACGTAAATCTACAGCAATGTCTGTGAGCAGTCCTTTGCAAAGTCATATGTTGCAACTAATCAGCAGAAATTAGTTACTCAGTAATTTGGCTGCATGATGAAAATCCTTAAATAATTTTGATAAATTAAGGATGACCACACAGACACAAAGAATAATTATAGACTGTGATTCATTTTGTTCCTTAATTAGGATTTTAAGAGCAAAATCTACAAGTAGGGTTATAATATTGAATTGTTCTTTAAATTGACACTAATTATACAGTTGTTTGTCTCTACAATTATTCTTTTGTCTTTTTAAGGCCTTTGTCTTTTTAATGAGTTATGTCCAGTTCAACAAGTAGTGTTTCTAAGTTCTGTTTTCATGTTTGTGAAATGTTGGAGAACAAGAAAGAATTGTAAATATTTACAGCAAATGATTTTATTTTAATTTACTTTAAGGTTCTCATATTTGTTGATTAGAGTAAAATAATTTTTATTGTCCAAGTATACATAATGATGTAAAAGAAAATGTTCCTGTTAAATAACGTACACTCATTCATGGATTATCTAAAATTTGCATACAGTACATTTAAAGGGAGATCAAAATGTTATAGTGATATTTGAGATTCCTAAAACTTTTGAGAGCTTTATCTGTAGCC